GGCCCAGCAGGTCACCTGCTCCTTGTAAACTCCTTGTCCTGAGCACTGTGATCATGCCTGGTGTGGATGTCTCCATGGATGCTTCATCCCCCATGCTCGTTTGTCTTCATCCTTCTCACCTTTTGTTTGTGGCCAGGCTGAGTGGACATGTGGCTGTTGCCAGCTGAAGGCCCTTCCCCTCTCCACATTCCCTTCCCTGGCTGCTTGGGTGAGAATGTTTCCTTTATCTCACCTTCCACCACTTTTGGGGAGAAACGGTTTGAAGGGAGATTGTCCTGTGTGAGACACTCCAGGGTTGGTGTTTACAATGGCTCAAAGTTTGGGAGCCTGTGGGGTCCCTCTCCTTGTGGGTGCTGCTTTGGAATGTTGGATAGGGTGGGAGGAGAGACAAGGTGGTGGCTAAACAAGGGCAGTGTTAGGAAACCAGGCTGGTTTTATTCCCAGAGCTGATCTGTACTGCTCTATCTGCTCTCATTGCTTGGCAAAAGTGCTGTTGTAGCACTGAGAGCAGACTGAGACACCTAAGCTTTCTTCCTAGCTCTTTTCCCTCTCACCATCCTCTCAGCAGCTGGTGAGTTTGCTCTTGTGTGTAACAGAATAACCCTCACACCTCTAATGCAAAGGTGGAACCTTGGGATGCTCCAGAGCCAAACGCTTCACTCACCTCAGCCTGGGCAGCCTGACAAGCCTGAGCTTTGCTTTAATCCTGCTGGCAAGCTGTAGAAATAGCTCAGGGTTTCTCCTTTTGCTGTGTGTGCCCCTGTTTTGTGGCTGCAGCCTCCCAGCTTGGCAATGTGTCTCTGCCAGCCGTGCAGGCGCCGGCGTGGCAGCAGAGCTCAGGGAGGGATGTGCAGTGACAGCTCTCCCTGCCATGGCACGCCAGCCCCAGGGAAATGCTTGCCAGGCCCGTTTGTCTCGGAGGGTCAGGACAGGGGAAGGTTGCCAGCACCTTTCACGGGCCACTGGGCTTGGCAGAGCTCTGTGGGAGCAGGGAGGCTTCTCCCAAAGGTTCCTTGGAGAAAGGTGTTCGAGAGCAGCAGGGTTTGAGATGCTGTCGGAGAGTTGCAGTGTACTTCTGGGCTGCTAGATGAGGAAAGTTTCTAAACAGCCATCAATCTATTGATTTAGGAGGCATTAAAGCCTTAAATTAATGGCTTTTTTTTGGGGTGAATTGATTTTTGTTCCCATGCATTTTTTATGAGCTTTGAGGCTCTGTCTCCTTCCACGCTCCCCTCTCAGTATCCCTATTCTTGCTACACATCTAACAGTCAAAACCATGTTATCATTTACTTATTCCTCTTCTGTTTGAATGTTCCAGTTCCTTATTGTCTGATATATATTCCCAGGGAGGGGGGATCTGCTTCTCCCTGGGCTGCAGGAGTCTGATGTTGGGAATCATGGATGTGCTGCTTTACAGTGGTGCAGAGCTCAGTGTTTCCAGCCTGCAAATTCACAGTGGGTGCAGGAGGGAAGATGTTACCTCAGGCAGGTTCTGAGCCCATCATCTCTTGGTTCACAGCTTCCCCCATTTTCTCACTCCCTTGTGAGGTTGTGCTTGACGTGTGGCTGGAGCAAAGTCCTCCAGCCATGCCTGATCCATGCAGGAGGAGCTGGGGTTGGGTGCTGTGTACACACTGACTCCAGGCTCTGGGCTTTGAACTGCTCCTTCACGTTTTACCTACTGACCTTTACAGCCAGGAATTCAAGTTGAACTTTCCTTTTGCACTGTTCAGGGCACAAAGAGCTGCAACATGTCCTCTAGCTCGTTCAGACACTAAATGGGTTTGATTCCTCTTGGCATTAATCACTGACCAGCCAGGTTCTTTTCTTCTTGCTTTTATAAACCATCTGTGCAGAGATATGTTTTCTCTAACCTGTGTTTCCATATGTGCTGAGGAGCTGGGATATACATTTTGATGCCTTAGAAAAGGCTGATTCTGGGAAGTGAAATGCTCAGCACTGCTAGGAACAGGATCTTTCATGTCCTCCCAACCTGGCAATTGGAATTCATTAATGACTAGAAAATGTGCTATGATGGTTTCTGTCGTGTTAGAACATGCATCAGTCCCAGATCTGTGCAGGGCACAGATGTGTTGTCCATCCTTGCTAAGGCACCTTTGAACCTTTCCTTCTGAAAACAGGAATGAGGCAGAAAAATATCTTCCATGGATATTTGTAACAGCAGCCTCAAAATGGTACAGCCCTCAACGTGCTCATTTTCCAGGCATGTTTTCAGGTTCTTGAGTGCCTGTTCCATGTTTTCAAATGGGATTTCACCCTGAAATCCAGTGGGAAAGGCAATCCCTGCCCAGCTGCCTCCCAGCCAGTTGTTTTGTTGTACCAAGGTGTCCTATCGTATGGGCTTTGGACTTTCCCATGTGGCTGTGGATGAGTATCTTGCTTTGCCAGTAGTTGTCAAAATGTTGTAGGTCTGCCCACGCAGGGAAGTGCTGCTCAGCATGAGTCACAGTGCTGGAACAGGGTTCAGGCTTTGGGCTGATGTTACCCTCTAGTGGCCTATGGAGAGGGAGTGGAGTCAGGGAGCAGCTGCACCAAAAATGTGGTGCCTGGTGGGGTCAGGGTGTGCTGGGGCAGGGAGGGAAGCGGGGATGTTGCTTGTTAGAAGGGTTTTTATACTAACAGATCCATATCCAAGAGGATTGACCTCGCTCTTGATTCTGTGTCAGACTGGAGAGGATTCCTCCTGCTCTCCTTGACCACCTTGCTGTGACATCCCAAAGTCTGCAGATGTCCTGCCTCCTCTGGGCTTTGCTCCAGTGCTGAGGGGCCACTTCTGCTGCCATGTCTGCTCATTTTCTTCCTTGCACAGCCTTCCTAGCAGCAGTTAAAACATTTATCTCTGCAGTTCCAGGTATGGTGACTGAGGTACCCAGTAGTGCTTACCCAAAGTGCTCTTGGAGGAGGATGAGACTCTACTGGTTGTGTTGGCCTGGATACTCCCACGATCAGATAAACACCCTGGGTACTCCCACGGTCAGATAGACACACTATTTATCTATGGCCAAGACAAAACCCACAGGCATGACCTCTAGTAATGAATAGGAAATAAGGACTGAGACCGAGGCAAAAGCAGTGACCGGAAGATCCTTCAGCTGACCCCACTCATCTTTTGTGTGCTGCTCAGTAATTGCATCTCTCAGCTCAGCCCTTACTGCCTCTCACTTTCTGCTCTCCAAACCAATGCTCCTCTCTTGCCTGTCCTTTTGTGCCAGCAAGTCCTAGTTACTCTGCCCTGTTCATGTTAATAAGTTTCTCAGCGATGACCTCCAGCTCTTCCCTCACTGTCCACATGGCCTTGTTCCTTCTGCTCCACCCGTGTATAGCTGCCCCTGCCTTCTGATTCATCAGAAATTCAGGTCTTCCTGGATATTCCATTCACAGCAGTGTGTTTGGACCTGTCTGGTCTGCTCATTTAGTTGGCAAAGTGACATGCCATTAGGTAGGACCTGCCAGAATGTCCTAACTTGGGATGGTCACATCGTTCCCAGAAGGCTTCAGCAAACACTTTCAGTCACTCTTCCAAATCTAAACCACTATGAGCTTGAGCAATCAGCACTGTTGCTGAGATTCTTTCTCATCAGTCTTGCACACACCTCTGGGTGTTTTGTATTCCAGCTGGGGGAATTTCCTTATCTCTGTCTTGCTGGAAGCTTTGACTCTGTGTTTCATGGTCAGTGAATGCTCAAGGCAGCTCTGGTGGCATGTTGTGGAGGTGATGAGCTCAACTGAGCCATGGAGCACTGGGAAGTGCTGGTCCAAAGAGCAAGAGCCTGGAAAGCTCTGGGTCCTGTGCTGGAGGATTGGATAAATTGCCAAATTCTTTCTTCCTTGGCTTATCCAGTTAGGGTTGAGGAAAATGTCAGCAGACAGCGTGACAGATGAGTGGCTTTCACATCCACAGGGTGACTTGCCCACTGTGGCTTTCCCTGTGGCACAATGTGATCTTTGGCTCTGTTTGTGCACTGGAAGCTCTTTGGTTCGCAGTGCCTGCAGCTCCTGGCGCCCTGACAGCAATATCTGGGGATTTCCTCGTTAACTAGCTGACCTAATTACCTGCTGTTAGTGTCCTGCCAGCTGCCTAAACACCAGTGTGCTCAGTGCTGGACAAAATAACCAGCTTTGTCTCCTGGACAGAGTGGGGTTTGCCCTCCCTTAATTTATGCTCTACCCTCACACTTCCCCCTAAAACAATCCAGTCCATTTATTCCTGGCAGAGGCTGAGGCTGTCTCACAAATCAGGGTGTCTGTGCCCCCTGCCCAAGCCCCTGTGACTGCAGCAGTGCACAGGGTGCATCTCCTTCTGTTGCTGTTCCTGGGAATTGCCATGGGACAGGAATTGGAACCTGTGTCCCTAACTTCAGGCATGCAAGGAGCAAAGCAAAGGATGCCAGGCAGGGCTGCTGGGCTTCATTTCTTCTTCTTTTCTCACCCCTCAGGTCTTTGTGATGGCTGTAAGCATCTGCACCAGAGAGGCCTACCAGTCCATGAAAGAGAGAAACATTGATGATGGGCATATAATTAACATTAACAGGTAAGCAAGGTGGGATGTGGGATCAGCCATGAGGCTTCCTCCTCTTCCCTGCATCGCAGAGAGAGGATTTAAGCACTGGAGCTTCAATGTTGGTGTGGGCTCATGGTGCCATAGGATTCCAAGGATCGTGATGGTTGATTTTTCAAACTACTTTTTTCACCTTTGCTGGTCTAAAGCAAGAAAGGCCAGACCAGGGAGAAAAGGATAATATCAACCACTTGTGATGGTGCAGGGCTGAAGATTGAAACTTCTTGACCAGCTCTAGAAAACAGCTATGTCAAGAGGAGTCTGTGGTGGTTTGTGTTCCCTGCAAGAGAGGGGAATTCCTCATGGAGCCACCACAGCATGGAATCATAGAATTCTGAGAGTTGGAATGGACCTTAGAGATCATCCAGCCCTGGGCAGGGAACCTCCCACCAGAGCAGGTTCCTCAAGGCTTCATCCAACCTGGAATAAACAC